GATTCTGTGATTCTATGATTACCAAGTTCACATCGTCTTTGTAATAATGGTGAGGTATCTTTCCAACATCTGTAGTTCTTAGATTACCTGATTGCACAAGTGGTTTTCATTATACATTTTACTTCAGCTGAACTCTTCCAACTCTTTCTAGACTACAACAGCAGATCAGCTGCTTGAATTCTTTAAGCAAGTTGGAGAAGTCAAATTTGTGCGAATGGCAGGTGATGAGACGCAACCAACGCGATTTGCCTTTGTGGAATTTGCAGACCAAAATTCTGTACCTCGAGCTCTTGCCTTCAATGGAGTAATGTTTGGAGACAGGCCACTAAAGTAAGAAATTAATTATTCATATGTCTGTTGAATGAGAGATTTCTTTGTGTCCTTATCCATTTGTGACATTGATGTGCAGGAAACTGCTGAGTGTTGTTTTTTTTTTTTTTCCCAATATAAGGACCTATTGTTAGCAAACTGCAACATTTTTATAAAGTCCAATTTCAAGGTTGGGCATAACTTCCTCTAAGAATAATATGGATGACATTGATTAAGGTATATTTATATTTAATCTTGAGGTGGTGGAAGCTGTAATACTGAAAGAATCTGCAAAGTCCTTAGTACTAGTTAAGTGTTCTATATGATGTGTATGTAGGTAGTAAGCCTTAATGTAGAGATTGGATCTGAAATAAAGAAATAGATTCCTAGGCTTTTGCTAGAAAATATTTTAACACAGAAATATCATGCCTCATTTATTTGAAAGTGGTAGGATTTGAAAGCAATAAAAGGCACTTCAGATACTTAGAAGAGATGTGTTAGGAGAAATCTGTAGTTTTGCTGAACTTTGAAGTTTTTAATCATACATGAAAGTTTTAGGTGTTTTCCTTTCTCAGTTGCTTTTCATTTTCCCTTTTTAAGTGTTTTGGAGTGAAAGGTTTTATTTTTGCTTAATTTAGAATAAATCACTCCAATAATGCAATTGTGAAGCCTCCTGAAATGACGCCACAAGCTGCAGCCAAGGAACTGGAAGAGGTGATGAAGAGAGTAAGGGAAGCCCAGTCTTTCATATCTGCTGCTATTGAGCCAGGTAGTTATATTTTATTCATTACCTAACAGGCATGTTCTGTGTGTACCTTTTTAAGAGCATTTTCAGACACAGGAAGAGGGTACTCAAAGGTGGACAATATGTGTTGGGGGTAAAAAAAAAAGGAAGATTATGAAAACTGTTTTAATGAACAGAGCAGTGGAATGAAGCTGACTTTATTTCATCGTGTCTTGTTTTCGGACACATGCTCACCGAATGTTTTCAAAACCAAAAAGTTAATACTAAATTAATACTTGATGCTTTTTGTGTTTGAAATGCTTACAAACTTTTAAAAGAAAATACTTTATATTTTGTTTTGTTCTCCTCTAGCACCCATTAATTCCACGGTTTCATGACCAGAGGGAGCTAGCATGGTTCTGAAAGTAGTAATACTATGCTTTCCTTGTCTGCAGCAGGTTAATTTTGTCCCTGTGCTATGCTCTTTTTCTTGATGGCTAAAGACTGTTTGCATCCTCATAGCAAATGGGATCGGAGAATGCATTTTGGATAAAATTTACTATGTTGTAAAGGTCTTGTTCATCCAGATTGGTTCCCTGATCCCTATTAACACTGAAGTGCCAGGTCAAGGAGGAAGGGCTTGGTGGGTGAAGAGATTAGACAGACATTTCAGTGCTGTTTTATGCTGACTTAAACTGATTGGAAAACCACAGCATAAAAAAAATTCTCAACTCGTTAAACTGGCAGTTGAGATCCTCCTTTTTCTTTTCATCAGTGAGACTTTGCCATTCCTTTAACAAACTAGACGTTGTCTACGTAGGTTAGATAGTACGGAGTTCTTTTTTTTTTCTGGGGGTGGGTGGGTATTTTGTGTTGGTTTTTTAGGGTTGGAAGAAAAATAGCTCTAGCACTTCCTCAGTGTTAAGCAGCAGAATAACAATCTTTCAGAGTCTGAACCAAAGTCTAGTGAGGTCACTGTTAAGATTTCTGTTGATTTCCTGGACTTTGGATCAAACTTTTCGCCTTGTTCTCTCCATCCCTTCCTCCTCCAGAACAATATTTGAGGAATAAAACTTCAATATTTGTACAGTGGCTGAAATACATATAAGTATAGAAAATACTAATTATTATTTACATTTTTACGTTTGTTTTCAAAATTGTGCCCTCTAAATTTACTCTATTCTTCTCAGGTTTTTTGTTTTGTTTTTTTTTTTTTTTTTTAAAGAAAGTAATTGTATGAAATAATAGACCAAGAGGAGAACATGTTGTGATCTTGTGCATTGTGGCAGCAACATAAATCCCATTCCTAATAGCTGTTTATAATTATAGCTGTTTATAATTATCTGGTTTATGTGTACTGCTGCAGGATGGCTGCACTCAACGAGTATATGCAATGACTTTCTTGGATGTTTCTGAAGGATATTTGCAAAGAAGGAAGATGTGCAAAGAGTAGGCCCCTTGCACTATATGTGGTACATTCCACTTGTGCCAAATTGTTAACTGGGATCTTTAAATGTTCTGAGCTTACACTGCAAAGTGGTTTTTTCCTCTCAGAGTCTGGAAAGAGCAGTGAAAGAAAAGGCGGTCGATCTCGTTCCCATTCTCGTTCAGAATCCAGGTCTAGCTCAAAATCCCGATCTAGAAGGAAAAGATCACACTCAAAGCACAGGTAGGTATGGTTTTTATTTTGGACTAAGAGATCATGCTGGGTGTTTTTGAGTGGTGGTTACTGAAATCTCTAACTGCATTATAAGGCAGGTATCCTTGTAGAGAAGGTTACTAAATTACACTGAGCGGATCAGAGTAACCAGGAACTTTGAACAGATACTCTTTCACTCCAAATGCTGAATGTTTTCAGGATTACTTTCAATTAAAACACACTAGAAGGCACTTTTTGTGCCATGTAGCATAACCATTCCTATAGGTTGCTGGTACATTTTTGTGCCACGTAGCATAATATAATTTTGTGACCTGTATTTTAAAAAGAAAGAGTTGAACAAAATCTGTTTTGTGGATCGAACATGTGGTTTACTGTTAACACCCTGAGCGGGTGGGTTGGCTGGTTTTGCTAGTAAAAGTTCCTGATGTCCTGAACTTCTAAATATTGAGTTAACAAATGGAGTATTTTTATTTACTGTACTGTAAATGAGAAGCTGTGGTTTTTAAAAGGAGAAGAACAAGGCTTTAGGGGGCAGTTTTTCGTTTTTCAGATTTTGTTTGCTATATTTATTCAGTTCAGGGCTGCATCCTTTCATGCATTGTCTTTTAACAAGGCAGCTAGAATTCTTGCAGATAGAGAAAAGCTGGCCAGTGGGAGTTACCGTCAACTAACTGTAGTACCAATCAAATATGAAACAAGAGCAGGCTTCAGTTTTGCAATGGCAGGACACCACAGTACACGTTACCTAATGACATCAGAATATGAGGTCCCTTTTTAATGCAAGAAGAATAATTTTGATACTTTGTTATTGTTTGCTTCTCTGCTGTTTCTCTAAATCAGGATGTAACTGAAAGCCACTCTTAGTTTTGTGTAACAGTGCAGTAATCTCAGTACTGTTTTGTGTTGACACAAACCAGATTGAGTTTTAGACGATAAACTTGGATTTTTTTACTTGTGGAAAATCTGTGCTTTAAACAACTGTTGATGTTATATTTTGTTTTCTTTTTTTTAACGACTTACCACTGCTGCTGTCAGTTTTGAGAACATGCTGGAAAAAGGCCAGTCTAATCTGTTGAGGCAACTGCATCCCTAAGAATTAATTATCCTTATCACTTCCCTGTTTCACTGTTTTATGAAATGCTTAAATCATTTCCATCTCTATGATACAGAGTTTATTCAAGGTCTCACTTTATCTCAGTTGTAATTAGTTTACCCTGTAGCTAGTTTATATTTCTGTGCTGATAAGTGGAGCAAAGCTGTAGGTAAAAAAAGGCCACCTTTCCTCTCGGTATGTATCACTCTGTGTATCATGAGCTGTAGAAGACAGGTGGAGCTGGTATTTTTTGTACCTTCCTGTTCTTCAGAATGTGTTGAGTAATATACATGGCCTTTCTGTCTTTGGTAAGTCAAACTTCATGGTACCCTAACCTCTCGGCAAAGTATCCAATTATGTGTTTTTTAAAACTTAATATTCAAATTTTTGAATATTTTCTCATTTTTGCTTTTCTAGGGAGTATGATCTACCAAAAATAGGGAATATTCTGGAAAGAAAGAACACAGTAATTTTTGTGTTGTATTTTCTTCATCAAATCTGTGACTATACTATATATGTTTATCAGAAGACTTAGATTTTATAGAGAATTTCTTCCTTACATCCAAACTAAATCTCCCCTCTTTCAATTTAAACCCCTTAACCCTTGTCCTGTCACTACAGGCCCTTCTAAAAAGCCCCCCCCCAGCTTCCTTGTAGCCCCTTCAGGTACTGGAAGGTGCTATAAGGTCTCCCCGGAGCCTTCTCTTCTCCAGGCTGAACAAGCCCAACTCTCTCAGCCTGTCCCCATAGCAGAGGTGCTCCAGCCCTCGGAGCATCTTCGTGGCCTCCTCTGGACTCGCTCCAACCAGTCTATATCCTTCTGATGTTGGGGGCCCTGGAGGTGGATACAGTACTCCATGTGGGGCCTAACGAGAGCAGAGTACAGGGGCAGAATCCCCTCCCTCGACCTGCTGGCCACGCTTCTCTGGATACAGCCCAGGATATGGTTGGCCTTCTGGGCTGTCAGCGCACACTGCCGGCTCATGTTCAGCCCCCCGGGCCCTTCCCCCCGGGCCTGCTCTCTATCCACTCTCTGCCCAACCTGTACTTGTTCTTTCTTACATTTGAAATCCATGCTAGCAAATCCTTTCAATGGAGAAGGTAGCTTGTCTAAATGCTGAACCACAGACAGTGGTGAGGTTTTTTTTGTTTGATTTGGTTTTTAAAGTTCATGTAAATTGGAAGGCTGGAGAACAAAACAGAAAGAGGCCAGTTAAAACCACCTTTCTTCAGTGATCAGGAGTGCAGTAAGTGACTGGGCCTGGAAAAGAAACTGTATTTACCTTTTTAAGCTGTTAGAAATTGTCTATAGTAGATTTTCTTTAATTAATTTACTATGGACAGCTATCCCAATATGGCATGAAATTACAGTGAAACACAAGTATGACTTCAATGGTGCATTGTTTCAAAGGAGGGCATGTACACCCGGTGAAGCATGAAGTGTCCGTATTTGCAAAAATGTTGGTAGACAGTATGTCACTGAGGTGTAACTATAATTTTATGTACTGAAGCAAGATTTATGCTTATTTTTCCTTTTATCATTGACCTAATTTGTTTAAAGTTGCAATATTGAAGTATTTTTCTTCTGGTATTATTCATGTAGAAGTAGATCTGGCAACAGATCGCTCTCAAGACACAAGGACAGACGTAGATCCAGAAGTCCCCTGAAAAAACGGTCTAGATCTAGGGAAAGGCGGAAATCAAGAAGTCGCTCTCGTTCTCGGTGAGTTCCATTCCTTTGAAATGATACTGCTGCTCTTAGCATACAGTACAGAGTTTTTGGGAAAAAAAAAATCTAGCAAACCTTTAAAGGTGGTAAAAGGTGAGATCGCTGAATGCTTTAGCCTGTCCCTAGGTTTTGTCTGTGGGACAGAAGGATAGAAAGTAAATTTAATGCTGACTGTACTTGTTTTGGCTGGGATAGAGATAATTTTCTTCACAGTAACTCACAGTAACGGTTTAAACCACCACACTGAAGTGCTTGATACCGAAGTCTAGTGTACATTTTTACCAACATGCGAGCTGCCAAAAGTAGGTGACTTCAGTTGTCAGAGTTCAACCAATAGATTAGGAATGTTCTGTGTAGCCTGTCCAACCCACAAAAAAAGGTAGATGATGCTTCTTTGTTCTGTATCTGTTGAGAAGGTGGGATTTAGGCTGAACTTGATCCGCATTCTGAGGACACGTATAAAGTTTTTGTACATGAGCTTTTGTTTTCGCCCTTGGCTTTGTCATATTGGCCGTATGCTTCTGTGGGCACAGATGTGTGAGTCTGCTATATGGCATATCTGCATGTCCAGAGCTATTATAGCTGTATTTTACCTCGTCTGCTAATTTTTAAGTCTGATCATGTAGTTATTGAACTGTGAAATTCCAACAAGATAATAACATCATTCTCTGAGGGGTGAAGTAGTAAATAATCACAGAAGTGCTTATGAAAGGAGCTTCATGAATAGAAGTCTTAGTACTGTTCTGTTTCATCTCTGTAATTCCCTTGATCCCTTTAAAGGGAGCTTCATACTCAGGTTGTGCAGTTGCCTCTTGGTTTTTGAGAGAGGATGTTTTGTGGGAAAAAGAACTGCAGATCTGTGGACCTTAGTGGAAAAAAGAATAGGCTAGTTAGCTTGCTGGGCTTTATTGATGGATCCTTTCGATTCTCTATAACTGTAGTATGAAGTTTCTTGAGATAATCTGCTTACTGGAAGGGGCAAGTCCAGTGAAATCTCGGTCATAAATTACCTGGAAGGCACTTGGGTCATAGTGAGACTCTGCTATTGCAGGGATTGCATTCTGTCTCATCTTTGTGATCTTACATTCTTTCTCTGAGGCTTCTAAAGAAGGATTTGCCACAACCTGATGGGAACCAAAGTTGTCAGGTTACAGAGCATACAGCAGCCGACTATTTATTAGCAGTTGAGTAGAAGATATAGCCAAACACTACTTCTGTTGAAGAAAGGTGGAGGCCATGCTTAGGACCTTTCATGTGCGTACTTTGAGAACCTTTAAAATTCCTAGACTAGGTACCAGTACCTATAGACACAGTAACTTCTGTCAGTCTCGTTCTCTTGGATACGTAAAGGCCTGCTAATCAACTTTGTCTCTTGTGCTTTCTCCTGTCTCTCTCTGAACAGTTGTTCATTTTCAGGCAGGTCCAGGGGTTGTGTGTCTCCCTGCCTGATAGGAAAGATGAAGTCTTGCGCTTCCAGATAATACTATACCAAAATGTAATCTTCCAGCCACGGCTGTGATCTAATCAATTTTTGTTTGGCTTGACAACTGGAACATCACTTGGAATTTTCCTCACTATGTTTCTTTCTATGAACATGTATGATTCTGACTTGTTCGTTATCCTGGCTTCTGTTTTCACTGTATTAACAGTCTTTCAGTAGTTTTCAAATTCCTAACGACATACTGACGATTGAATCATCTTGAGTTTTGGCCTTTGGCCTTTTGAGGGAATTTGAAATTTTATCCCTGTTTTTTATTTCTGTGTATTGATTGTTGTTGAATGTACAAGTAGTTCTGGGATATCTGGGTGAGAGGACACCAGAATAAAGACTTATGTCAGTCAGCTATCGTTAATCATATGGGGGTGGCTAATCTGCAGTTCAGTTTATGTGGACACACTTTCAGCAGAGAGTGGATTTACAGATTGTAGAGTTTGTCTTACTCCTGACAAAATCTAGAAAACTTACGTACGTATAACAACATAACTGTGGTGAAAAAGACGTATTATCTCCAAGTGTAATAACATTGCTCTGAAGATCAGTTTGATTTGATTTTGACCTCCCCTTGTCAGTTTGGTTTCCAAATTTTTCCTAACTATATAACCTTTTCCCCATGGTGAACAGGGGTGGAAAATAAAAATCCTGAATAATAAGGTTTTCAACAGACATGCTTACTTTTATCTTGAGCAATTAATTTATGCTAAAGAGTTAGTTGTAATTTTAATTGGGAAGTTGAAAGATGAATTAATGGATTTGTGTTTGGCTTTTCACAGGGACAAGAAAAGAGACAAAGAAAAGGTCAAGGAAAAAGAAAAGGCCAAAGAAAAGGAGAGAGACCGAGACAAGGAGAAGGAGAGAGGTTTTTTTTGGGAAAGAGAGCGAGATAAAGAGAGAAACCGGGAGAAGGAAAGGGAGAGGGATAAAGAGCGGAACAAAGATCGAGAGAGAGTCAGAGACAAAGATAAGGATAGGGACAAGGATAAGGACAAAGATAGGGACAGGGACAAGGAGAGGGAAAAGGAGAAAGATAAGGAAAAAGATAGGGAAGAGGTAGACCAGAACAAGGAAAAAGAAGATACTGACAAAGAGGGGGAGAAGGACAGAGAGAAGATTAAGGACAAAGAAGGAGATAAGGACAAAGAGAAGGACAGAGACAAAGAAAAGGAAAAAGATGGGGATAAGGAGAAGGAGCGAGAGAGAGAAAAAGAGAGAGATGATAAAAAGAAGAAAGATAAGAGGTCCAGAACACCCCCAAGAAGCTATAGTTCTTCAAGAAGATCTCGTAGCTCCAGCAGGTTTGTTTAGAATTTTTTCATGCTTTTGTTATGACTTCCCAGTTCAGTGAGACACCATCTAGTTTTTATGTATCGATATCAACACGTCTCTCACTAATGAAATTTATATTATTTCTGTTTCATGGATTTCCCCATGAAGTAAAATCTATTACAAAAGCTCTGTATGATACCTGACAGAACAGTTTCTTGGGTGGCTGCTGCCTGCTTTCACATAACCATGTAGTATAGTCCTTGAGGACAGTAAATAGGTGATACGTATGCCATTTGTCTGTGCTGGAACCATGCAAAAGTTCTGATAAAGCAACATCACACATCATTTTGTCTTGATGAAAGTTGGAGTCACTGTTCTGTAGTTCCTTGGTTCCTTACATACTGTACAGTGTTGGTCTGTAGATCTCACGAACAGCTGGGTCATAGTATTTGCCACTCTTCAGCTGGGTGGCTGCACAGCAGGAAGCAGGCATCTCACTTGGCTGGCTGGCCGTTCAGAAGGTGAACTGTCTTGGAAGATAAGGATACCTTGTTTACTGGGCCCAGTACTGTTGAACATCATCAGTGGCCTAGAGAGTGGAACAGAGTGCACCCTTGGCAAGTTCGCACACAGTGCAGAACTGGAGGGAGAAGCTGGTACACCAGCGGAATGTGCTGCCATTCAGAGAGACAGGAAAAAAGGGCTAAGAGTCTTACCTCCTGAGCTTGAACAAAGAGAAAGGCCAAGTCCTGTCCCCCGGGCAGGAACAGCTCTGTTGCACCAGAACAGCATGGGGCTGACTGGATGGAAGGCTGCCTGGCAGAAAGGACCTGGGGGTCTGTTCCTTTGTTATGTTAGTCTTATTTTCTGAAAAGAAATTGTGAATAGGTTGGACTAGAGAGTCCCAGTTAGCTTGCATTTAGGGTCATCTGTTTACTTTGGTGATTTAGATGATTACAAACCTTCCTGGAGAAGATTATCCAGTGAACTGGCATATCAGCTGCTTGGATTTATAGTGCAGAACTAGGTTGGGACTGGTTTTGGAGATGCTGATCCTTTACCTGGCAAGTGTGAAATACTGGACAAATAGTCATTTTTCTGGGGAAGAGGTGGAGGTGGAATAGGACATACAGGACCTTCTAAGAACGAGGAGGCAACTGACCTTGCTTTCCTGACAGGCAGCATGCAGGGTCTAGAAATCAGATGACCAGTGGAAGAGGAGGATGAGGCTCCTTTTCCAGCAGACAGCTACAGGCAGGCTAGCAGAGGAGATAGGTGGGAAATGTTAGTTCTGTGTGTGATTAAGAGACACAGGATCACTGTCAAAGTCTTCAGACTTGTTTTTTCTTAAGTTTTGCTACATTAGTATTGCTTAAGGTCATTAAAAATCAGGTGCACAAAAATCTTTGCATAGGCAGATGTAATAGAGAAGGGAACGAATACTGTCAGGCACAGTTGTAGTTCTTCAGCTTGAAATACTAAGCTCGGAAGATGGAAATCAGATTTAAACAGTTAAAGAGTTTCTTGTTTGAAAATAATTACTGAGGCACTTGGTTACTCACAGATATGTATGCTGAAAGGCAAAATGAAGTGGGGAATATACTACTCCGTGTAGCCCAGGTGGGAACACTGTCAGAATAATATGTCAGTTTCCAGTATCCTTATTTGAGAAAAGGTGATGATAAATGTGGTGGTGTTCAAAATGGGATGCATGTTAACTCGCGAACAGCGGATCAGTGACTGGGTTATTTTCTCCATGGTTGTGAGGCCACTTTGTATTTTTGATTGCCAGAGATCAAATCAAACTTAAGAGCTTGCTGAACAAAATAGCTGTGCAGCTTCAGGAGGTCATGGTAGATTATATTGTCAGAATATCAATCCAGATAGTGACAGGCGGATCTTAATATATCCATTTCTAATTTAATGTAATAACTGTTGATTTTATGGCCTTTCTAAATATTGGAGGTATAAATATTCACAATTAATGGTGTGAATTGCAAAAACTGTTATGTGTAATTGCAACTTTTGTGCCATATCTTGAAGGGCCTTCTCAGTTTTTTAATTCCCTGGTTTTCTTTGATGTTTCTTCCTCTTTGCTTTTCCAGCTCTGTGAAGAGGTGATAGGAAAAAGTCATCTCACTTTGACAGAGATAGGTCCTACATCTATGTTAAATGAAGCTTTACTGGTTCCATTTCTGCTTTATTTTAACATGTGCCTCAGTATGTTTGCAAGCCAGTATTTCATGTTTTCTGATCATGTTTCAAGATCAGGCTCCGTAATAGCAACTTCAGCAAATTCCATGTATCTGTGTAAAATGTCTGTTACCTAAAATGCTGCAAGTTCTTCAGTGTGTTACAGAATGGTGACATTCTGTTTGCTGAACAAGGCCTGCCAGAAATACAATAAATAACAACTTACTTACTCTGATTTTGACAACAGCTTGAGCTTCCTTTTGCACTGTTTGCTTCTAAACCAACAGGAATGCTAGCTCATGTGTTTAGGAATTAAATTCCAGCCAGGCTGAACTGAAATTCCAGTGATCTTCTGGTTTGTAATGTTAGGTTTTGAAGTTAGGTTTTGAAGTTCTTATTACTCAAGATACACCTTTTGTCTTAATGTGGCTCTTCATTCAATTGGATTCTTTTCCTTACTGAAGAAACTCTTAATACAGGCCTAGTGAATTCAGTGCGTTTCCATTGTTACTGTGTGTAAGTACAGGCAGGCGAGGACAAACAAAAAACTGAAATCTGAAAGGGCACAACCTTTTTCTTCTGACTGTTATCCTCCCCTTTCCCACCAAACTGAAACATACAAAATTTTTTTGTAGTTCATGTATTGTTGGTGCTATGTAATGTTTATGTAATGTAATCCCCTTTTAAAGAGGGATGTTTACTTATTTGTTTGTCACAGAGCTTTCTGTTTTTATCTGGTTCCTGAGTTTATTATGATCTTGCATTTCTTGGTCCTGTAGAGAGAGGCGTAAAAGGAAGAGTAGAAGTCCCTCCAAGTCTCCTAAAACGTCCAAAACAACAAAAAGAAAGTCTTCACGAACTCCTTCTCCAAGAAGGTGAGCTTGATGTAACCATAAAAGTTAATGAGCTGTAAAGGAGGAAGAATTTACAGTATTTTTATTGTTTTACTGCCTTTGCACTAGTCATCTCAGGTTATTTCAGTTGGTCAGTATGATTCAGTTTTAATTTCAAACAAAACAAGAACAGAACGAAAACCGTCATGGATTCGAGCTTTGGTATGCCTTCAACTAGAGAGTTTCAAATCTGTCAACAATGCAAATTTTGTTCAAATAAGTAAAAACCCCTCATCAGATGCAGATTAATTTGGTCTTCTCTTTGCAAACATCCTGTGTACTGAGTACATGCATTCTTTAGCTCTCTTCAGTCAAAAAATTCCCTTGTCTTTATGAGGGTTTTTTTTCTAAACTTTGGGTTTTTTTTTTTAAACCCTCAGATGGGAGTTTAGTTGCAGTTAAATGGTTTGAATATGGTTGCTGTTGGATCAAATTCTGAGTAAAAATTTTCTTAAACAGAAACAAGAAAGAAAAAAAAAGAGAAAGAGATACAAATAATGAAGGAAAAGAAAGAGAACGCTCCACCTCCAAGAAAAAAAGTAGTAAAGAGAAAGAGGGAAAGGAGAAGTCTGACAAAAGCAGCACTGCTTTGAAGGTAAGCTGTGTGACCAAGTGATGAGCTGAGGGAAGCGGTACTAGTGGGGCCATTATTAAAATTCCATCCCTTCTTTCTTTTTCTCCTCTCTTCTATTTGTCCTGTTTTCCTTACCACATTATTATCATTTGAGTTTAGCTTTTGCCAGTTGGAGACCTACAGTTGGTGCTAGTGGGCCAGTTTGGTAAGTCTCCATGTTTGAATTTCACCGAACCTATAGGAGCTGGTGTGAATAGGTCAGAGAAACACTTAGTTTTGGTTTCTCTTTGCTGTTCTGTGCCACGTAAGGACTTGACTGGCTGCCTATCTGTATGAGCAAGCGGGAGGCAGACTGTGTAACTGAGGAGCAGCGTTCAGGGACAGCTTGGCTGCCAAGTAAAAAAAGATTACATCTCAATAAATTTAACTCTGCAGTTCAGCCTCCCCCTGGTTTGTTTGGTCCTGGTCTGCATACTGGACTCTCTGGGAGTAGAGTTGAAGATCTGGGGAAGAGTGGTATGGGCTTTTACCCTGCAGAACAGAACTTGGTATGATTAAGAAAGGAAACATCTTCAAATTGTTTAATCCTAAAATCTGAAAAACAGTATACCTTTGAAGAGTAGTTTGTCTGTAGTCAGATTTATTCAAGTGTTATAAACTGGCTGGTTTACGTGACTTTGTCCACATGCTTAAGTAATTATCTTTCCCAAGAACTCTCTTAAAACACATCAGATGGCTGCCACAAAGTATGAAAGAAAAATTTCATCCTATTTAATTTAGAAAATACAGTGAAGTCTTAATTCTGGAGCGGCACCTTGTCAGCCTCATAATGCTGCTTGTTCTGTTTTTTTCTGAATATTGATGATAAAGACACATAACTTTATTGCAATGATTTCTTAGATGACGGGTTGCTATATGTGCCTAATTTAAGCCAGTTGTAAAGAAAGCTGCTTTTTTTAAAAAAAAAAAAAAACAAGCTACTGAGCTGACAACTCTATTCTAAAAATTGCTGAGACAAAATAAGCATGTAAAAATTGAGATAATAAAACTACCAAGAGTTGGTTGGAAGGCATCCTGTAATGCTAAGAATACGATTTTTGTGTGTGTGTGTGAAATAATTTTTTCTTTGGCAGGACAAAGATCAGAGTAAAGAGGATCAGAATTCAGAAACTGATAAGGAAGTAGACAACAGAGATACACAAAGGACAGATGAAGTCAAACTACAGCAGAATGGGAACTGTCAACCAAATGAAGAAAACCTCTCAATTAAAATGGAAGAGGTTTAAAGGAAAGAATTGACCTCTGAGTCAACTAAGGAATGAAATCCAAAGCTTTTTATTTCCCAGAATGAGGAATAAAATGTCAAAGCAATCAACCTGAACGTGTTGATAGTACTAGTAGCTCTTCCAGTTCTTGTGATAGCTTTGTTGTTGTCTTGCTGTAAAGCAGGAGAGCACGGACCAGTAGTTATACCATGAAAAGGCAGATGCCATCAGAGCTATTCATCTCTGAAAATCCATGCATTTCCATGACGGCTGTACTTATTTGTAAAACGATTTATGTTAAGTTTTGCCATAAGCTGTTACAAATAAGTAGAAACTGAAAGATGTAAACCTGTACTACCCAAAAAACCATTGAAGATATGCATTGGAGGTTCTTTAAAATACTGCTTGTTGATGAATTTTGTTTTGCTTTACCTTGTGGGTTAAAAAATCCACAAAAACGTCAGTGTGTACTGTTAGATGTGCTTGGAAATGGTGCATAAATATACACACTTTCTTTTGTTGTAAATGACAGCTGTAAGGAAAGTGTTCTTAAACATAAACACAGTTTTACGGTTCTTATATTAGATACCCAACAAATGGTTTGTTTTGAATTTGCTCACTGCTTGAGATTCTTGGGTTATGTTATTTAAAAGAATTTCTTACTAATATCCCTACAATTAATATTTCTTTTACATTATTTGAAAAATGCATGCTACTAATGTTTCTAAAAGGAACATTGCCATGTTACAGATAATAGGTTAGCTTACTGGGTTACTTCGGGGTTGTTTTGTTTGTTGTTTTCTTTTGTCCTTCTGGAAGTGAGCACACCTGTATGATATTGTCAGAACTTACAGCTTTGTTTTGAGCCGTACTGCAGTGTGTCTGTTCAGTTGCAAATAGTACAGGTGCCATTAGGAAAATAAATTTTTCTTATTTGTTTAAAAAATAAAAAAAACACAAACATGGGAGCACAAGCAGAAGCTTTAGTGCCTTCTTAAAATGTGGTATTTTCTAGAAATGTATATGTGCTGTTACTCATTTTTAGCTAAATCTTACATGATCTCTATTGCTATTTTGCTGCCCCCGCCATACTGTAGACAGGAAGGCAAGTGATTTGTCAGGACAGCTGTAGGAGTCACTTGTTAGTGAATACTAAAGTTACGTTTTTACTTTTTATTTTAGAAGAGATTTATAGATGAAAGCGAAGATGCAATTTGGGGACCATCACTGTACAAGAAGAGTAGCTGAATACAAAGCATTTTCTCATCACCTGCGTCAAAGACAGTCCTTTAGGCATTTTATTCTACATTTGGATGGCCTTAATTGTTACCTCTCCATCTTCTCCAGTATCTGTTGGGTGATATAAAATGAATTGTATGCAAAGAAGGGGGGAATAAATAATGTGGGGGAAAAAAGTTCTAATTTACACAGGAGTTATATGGTAGAGATTCTTTTTTCATTCTTTGAGGAGAAAGAATGTAAGAAGAGAACGGCAAAGCAGATATTTTTGTTAAGGTAAAACATGGCTTGTGTTCTCTGAAGTAATTTAATCACATGAGATTTCTGAAGAGTCATACCTCTAAACTCACCTATACCTAAAATTGGGTAGATTATTTTTAGTACAACTTAACACAATCAAATGACTTAATTGCCTTACCTCATGGGAAGAGTTATTTCTTTCAGTTTTAAAAGAAACCTTGATAGCATTTGTTTTCAGTTTGTTTTTATTTTCCTTTGCATAGTTAATTCTTCCAAAATAAAATTTTTTTAAAAAGCAGCATATTACGGGGAATGAAAAGTTTTGCCCAGTTCCTAAGGTGATGAAACCCAGTTTGACTGCGAAGCTGCTTAATCACTCTTCATTTTCAATAGGATTTAATGTTCTTGCCACTGTGTACACTTAAGGCTATATGAAATGCTTTACCATGTAAAGTATAGACAGTCATTTTTGTGATGTTCAAGCCACCTGCTGTTGGCTGGTAAACAGCTTATTCTGCTAAAAGAATGACAAATCTGTGTGCTTACAGGGAGACTGTGAAGGATTGTGTCTAGGAGCAATAGCTGACTTATTCATGACGTTCAGGTAGCATAGAGCGAACAGATTGTATACTACTTGTCTGCGGTACCATTTCACTAATAAAGTATTTCAGAGGGAAGTTTTTCCTGGTACTACTTACTAAAGGCATATTTTTAACTGATCTGGTCTTATTCAGGCAGCTTCTTTGATTTGAAACGTGGATACCAGTGAAAGTGTGCATGTATCATAAATAATACCTTCGAAAAGCTGAGTTTCTCCTTTGGAAGGGATTAGAATTCTTGCAGTGTGTCATGTTTCAGCTGACGTTATTTTGATTTTTCTCAAGTTTTGTTGTCCTGAAATTGCGTAGCTCTGCTGTGTGTCAGCGAAGGATTGTGCACAGTTAGCTGAGGAGCATGCCTTTGGAAATGAACAGTTACGGGTGGCAGCCTTACTAGCTAACGTACCGCACGCGTAAGTCCGCGCACAGCGCGCTGTTACGTTGTATGTGAATTAATGGTTCCCGTGGAAAAAATAGCCCCGTTCTTAGGAAAAGGCAAAACCCCAAAACAGCCAACCACCAAACACACGCATTTCCTCCCCACCTCAAGTCGTGTTTTCTTAGAAGTGCTGTATTTCTGGATTTGCTTTGTAAATACTGTGCAGATCTGTGAGGTAGTTAAGTTCTGTCTGTTCGTGTTAGGTGTTTCATGGTTCCCCTGCTAGAGAACTAGTAAAACGCCTGTCTCCGCAGAGGGTAGCTCATGTTTAAACCGCTAGTGTAGCACAGTAGTGAAGCTCCTGCTTGCTCCAACAGGACCGTGTGCATCATCCGTTAAATGTGTCCATCTTCCACTGGAAGTCCGTCGCCTTCGTCGTTAAGAAGTTTGCATGCTGAGCTGCCGTGTCGGATTGCTTGGTTTTGCACTTTATAAATGAGATTAAACCGAGTGGAGGTTCTGGGGACAGTGTAGTTCATGGTAGCCGTATTGTTTTAAACGTTACTTCGTTTGAGTCAGCCTTTATTTGAAAATGTTGTGGCTCGTAATTGCTCAGAAAAGTGATGATAATGGTGCCGTTTTGCTAAGACCGTGTATAGCACATACGCGTAAGCTTCCATTAGTGACCACAATTGTATTTCACAACACTGATTCTGGAGTAAGGATGGGATTTTTCTTTGGGTTTTGAAAGAAGGTAGCAGGAGACAACTGCTGGTGGTGGGCTAAACAGGATTCCAGGCTCAAAATAGAGCTCTGTCTGTGACTTCGGTAAATTCATCCAAGTCCATAGGTTTACACAGGTGTGAGGGATGAAATTTTGTTTGCAAACACTGATAACAGTAGGGTATGTGAAGAATACTGTTGTTCATATTTCAGAATTGGAGTTCGGAGGGGAAAAAAAGCCCTTAGTTGGAAACTAGGAACATGTGAATAATAGCTGGGAAACCAGTGAGACGTGGGTTCTGCCTACTCATTAGTCACCAGCTAATTGTTTCGATGGCAGTTTCAGATAGATAGGTCTGAACTAGCTGTACATTAGCTGGCTAACAGCAGCACCTACACACAGCTTGGGTTCTGGAACGAGCTGTGGGCACTTGGGTGCGTTTGCTGGGAAGAAGGTAAACTCTCTAGCCCGTAGCATGCTTTGCTAGTGTTCTCTGGCCCAGTTACATCTAACGCCATACCTGGAAGTACTTTGAATCTCTGCAAATCTTTGTTAACATGGTAGCTTCTAGCTTGTACTGCTATTTCATAGTAGTTAATAGATTTAGGGATTTCTGTGGGTTGGGTTTTGGGTGTTGTTTTTTGGGTTGTTTTTTTTTTTTTGGTCTAAGGAAGAGAAAATAAGTAGACTGCTTTGTATGAAACGAGTTATTGTATACTTCATACTTGTCCTTATTACTATGGGGATTTTTTCATTCATGTGTGTATGACTGTTGCAAGCAGTAATGCCATAGTGATGTGTTTATCTTCTACTTTTAGGTCTGAAGCAGCTCTGCATCACTGTATTTTTTGTTAGTTTGTAATGAAACACGGAGTTCATGTATTTTAATTTTGCTAGCCATTCGCTTAGAGTTAAAAAAGAAAAAAAACAGACAAAAATCGTTTTGAATTTTGTAAATGTTAGTGTGGAAACTGCATTATAATGGTAAAACAAATAATAATCTTAAAGATGTGAATTCTGAACAGTGACTTGCAAACTGGGGGATATTATGGGTACTGCCTGCTACTTGGTGGTACTTTCAGTTTTATAGGAATGAATTATTGCCTTTGGTGTTGTCATAATTTTAAAAGTGAGAATTTGACTTAGTGACAAAAATGCTGAGATCTGTAAAAGGCTAAAACAATGTAAATCAGTAGGGATTTAGTTCAGAGACATGTAGATTTCTTGCCAGAGACTGGAGTGTAGACAATTGAAATATGTAGATACGATTGGTGTTACTACCTAAAGAGAATCTAAAACTTAATTTTGTTGGCTAGTATGTAAACAGGGAAAAAAAAGTTTTCAGCCTGTACCTTAGGTTTATTTTTATATGTTGAAAAGTGTAATTAAAATAATATTGAAAACTAAAAGCACTGTATAAAGGGGATTTTTTTTTCATGTAAGAGAAATACACTTTCAGTTGTGTTTGAACTTCTGTCTTTGCATGCAGTGTTTATTTCAAATTCAAGAATGCTCCATCTGTAGGTAAGTCCTGTTGCAGGATCCAAGCACACTACTATGGGTGTTCCTTCTGTATTCCCTTCAGTATAAAATAGTGTAAAAGCCTTGTCTGACATGATGTGGAAGCAGCTACTTTCCCCCTGGTTGGAGGAGACACAGCTGTAACACTTAGCTTCTGTATTAAGTAAATACCACTGTTCAGAAACTAGTTACGATCCCCAGTTCTCACAGTGTTTTCTGACACTGTGAACTCCTCACTGTCTAAGAGGGAAAATTTTTAAAAAGTTTTCTCACAAATTTTTTTGACTGTTTTATGACTGTTGAGCTTAATGCAGGAGAACATGGACAGCAAAACTGAGTTTTTAGCTGTTTGTACATTTTTCTTCTGGAAAGTTTCATCTCACTTTTTAAGAAATTAATTTCTTTCATTTATCTAGTGCCAAATTGGACACGAGACCAGGGATTTTTGGTGTACAAAGAATGTTCCATACTAATCTGGTGAATGAAATTATTCTGCCACCCAGAGGTTTACATGTGTCTTTTTTGACGCAAAAGGCAGTTACCAGCGATGGTAAAAAAATTGTCATCTGCCTTTCACTCAGTCCCTGATGTCATTAATGAGGCTGCCAGTTAGGTAGCTTTCTTTAGAAGAAGTAGTGGTTAGTGCTCTACTCACCAA